ATGCTCCTTGCCACTTGCCCCCCCCATAAGGGGCCACAACTTGAAGAAAAAGAACACTTAAAAATTTCCTGATAACTGTGGGTCTGGAAAGTCTCTTTTCTTTCTCCAGTTCTTCCACCATTGGCCTCATCAAGACAAAGAATAACAAAAGAGGAAGGCTGAAAGATCAACTTTGGTTTACAATTTTACCTTTCAAATCCATCATTCATCAACTGAAGGAGGGTTTCTCAAAATAAAAAAGACAGAAACACAGATTAGGTAAGCACAGAACCTAAGAAAACAGAATTACTCATCATTTAGTTTGTGTGCTGCTGTCGTTCATTCTCCATGGAATCCCATGCTCCAGGCTCCAGCAGACCTCTAAGAAGGGAGGTGCTTGAGTAACGGGGACCCTGCAAAGCTTCAGGAACTGAGCTTGACTGCCTTGAGCTGGGAATGAGGGCTGAAAGCAAGTCCATGGTGCTGAGGTTTCCAGTACAACTCTAGTGACTCCAGGTTCCAAATTCCAACCCATCTGAGCATAAAGCGGACTAGGAAAGAACTCCTGGTAGAAGAATGGCAGCCAGACATCCTCCTTTAAACTTCTGAACTTGACTGCCTCATTGCTCTGACAGGTTCTCTCTATACAAAGGAAGAAAAAAACCCAAACAACTTCTCTCATAAGCTTTTTCTAAGAGAAGATGGCAAACTTGGAAGAAGTCTCAAGAGACGGCAATCTTTGCTCCAGATCAAATTCTTTAGAGAGGAAGTCCTCAGAGAACTGTTACACCAGGTGCTTAGGTGCAAATGGGAAACATGTCTAGAACCTCAATTTATTAGCGTAAATTGAGGTGTTGCAGTTACAAGAAGCATGTGAAAGAGAGGTTTTCTGGATCACATTCAGAGATTTTTTAGGCCATGCAGGTACCTAGTACCAGGGCATACTATGGCTGAAAAGGAACAAGGCTTGAGAACTTGGAACAGTAGAGGAGTGGCCACAAAACCTCATCAATGCTGGTAAGTCCAGGACAGCTGAAATTCAAGCTTGGAGCCATTTCAAATTTTTATACAGCTGGCTAAAAATCTTCCCATGTTATGACAGTTTGGGAATTTGTGAATTTATGAATTCCAGTTTGAGTTTCTGAATTCTCTGTATGTTTTTGTTTATAGTAATGTCCTAGTTTTAGCTGGGACAGAGTTAGCTCTTCTTTTTAACAGCCAGAAGAGCTCCATGTTTTGGTTTTACTCAGAGGCTCGCTCTGAGAAGAATGCTGATAGCAAGTTGATGTTTGTGGTTGGGTGTGAGACTCCAAGGACTTTTCAGTGTGCCGGAGTGCAGAAACACGGCGGGAGAAGGGGGGAGCATAGCTGGGACAAGGGGGACACGATTCCCCTTGTGATTTGTGCGGAACTTAAGACTGAGGGCCAAACTGGCCAATTAGTATTCCATATCATGCAGCGTCATGCCCAGTATGAAAGTGAGGGTCAGTCGGACAGAAGGGCTTTTGCGCTTTGGCTCTTTCGCCGCTTTTGCTCTTTTGCTCTATTGCTTTTTTTTTCTCTCTCCCAGTACTCCCACTCTCGGAGTACTCTCTCTCTCTCTCTGCCCCTCTCTATTTCGGGGCCTCACGTTCGTCCGGGATTGCAGCTTCGGGACGAGACGGGCTTCGCATACGAGGGGGCGGTGAGCATCTACACTGTGTATTAAATCATCTGTATTAAATTGTTCTTATCTCAGCCCACGGGTTTCCCGTTTCTCCTTTAATTCTCTCCCTCATTCCTGGGGGTGGGGGAGGGGGAGTGACCGGCTGTGTGTGGGATTCGGCCTAACCCACAACAGAAAAGCCAGTCTTAGAGAGCACGTGTAAACATAGCGCAGACTGAGCAGGCTGAGAAACACGAGTCCAACACAGCAGCCTGCAGAAGGGAGAGGCTCAAGTATGGCTGTAACAGAGTGATCATAGAAACCATCTTGAGGAAGCACTATGCCTTACACATATGAGCTAGCCAAGGTCCCCTCCACTCATAACCACTTGCTTATGAGTCTACAGCATATAGAGAGCAGCAAAAAGATCTAGTCAGCTGTCAGAGGGGAAACCTGGCACTAAGGAATGGAGTGAATTCCTGACCAGAGACAAAAAAACATATTCCTGTTTGGTTGGGCAAGTTACTCTGTATTAGGCAAGCAGGTAAAGGAACCTTGTCCCATCGTCCAAGATCTCTTAGTTGTTTGCTGGTGGGGAAACAAGGATTAAACTCTTTGGAGAGGCTGAAATCAGCACTGAGATTCAGACCTGCTGGTGGTGGTTGACAGCCTGCACCCACCTCTGAACTACGGCTGGGAGGCATCCAAGCAAGGCTGTTTTGTTCACAGCTGCGACTATGGAGTAAAGTAGCTCCTATTATGCGGAGGGAAGGTTCTTGTGCTGAAAGAAGTGTCCCTTGGAGGGGTGGCAGAGGGGATGAAAAGGAGTGAAACCTCCAGTGAGGTTTTTTCTTTTATCTTGCAGATGAACCAGATGGCAGGAGCAGCAGAAACCAAAGGAGGAGCATGAAGCCTTTAAGAATCAGATTGCTAAAATGTAGG